ATAACTAATACAAAAAAACGACCACTTGAAACAAAGATGGCAGACGAACACTGATGAAGAGAGAATGTGTATAAAGACCCCCGACATATTAATACGTAAATATAAATATTGCCTAGCATAGCAAGCCATGCATAGAGGCGAAGGTAAAACAGTATATAAAACAGGCCACGAAAGATGGGTTTGAATATAAAGACTGAAGTGAAACAGTAAATATAAAACCAGATCTTGACGTTGCAGTGTTATATAAAAGTTGGATCGTAAACTAAGGACGGACTTTATCATAAATCCTTGATATCGAAGGAACCTCATAACTTCCGCAGAGATATAAGATAGAACAAAGTATAATGGAAACTTCGCCAGAAAAAATATATATATTATGCAATAAAGAAGGGTTGTTTTTGTCCACATTGCTGCTGTTTCTTTGCATTCGCGAAATTGATACTATGTTGCACTGCTGTTGCATATTAGATACGTGTCAGTTGAATTAACTTATTTGTGGATATGTTTTCTCACTTTCTTCTTTACTCTTCTCCTTTTCCTTGTTTTATTTATTTTCTTCTCTCTATATCTTTTTTTCTTCCTTTTCTTCTTCTTCTTCTTCTTCTTCTTCTTCTTCTTCTTCTTCTTCTTCTTCTTCTTCTTCTTCTTCTTCTTCTTCTTCTTCTTTTCTTTTTTTTCTTTTTCTTTTTCTTTTCTTCTTCAAATGTGTTACTTAAAACCTCTACTGAAATAAAAGTCAATGCATCGTCACTTGCACAAGTCGTTGGTATGTTTGGTTGCGTTCTAATATGGTGGGTATTGCAACAGAGTCTTTCTTTACCAGATAAGGCGTTGGTCCTTTACCAGAGGATATGACACCCAGCATCATTTTCCTTTAGGTTCTCTCTCTCTCTCTCTCTCTCTCTCTCTCTCTCTCTCTCTCTCTCTCTCTCTCTCTCTCTCTCTCTCTCTCTCTCTCTCTCTCTCTCTCTCTCTCTCTTGCCCTGTGCATGTGTGTATATATATACATACATATATATACCAACCTATCTATCTATCTATCTATCTGGCATCTCTCTCTCTCTCTCTCTCTGTCTCTGTCTGTCTGTCTTCCCCTCTCTCTCTCTCTCTCTCTCTCTCTCTCTCTCTCTCTCTCTCTCTCTCTCTCTCTCTCTCTCTCTCTCTCTTACACACATATATACACTCTCTCTCCCTCCTCTTCTCACCCCCCCATCTGCTACCTCCTCTCACCCATCCGCGCTCCCCTCACACCTCCCCCCACCTTTATCCTCCTTCCCTCCTTCGCCCTCCCTCCCTCCCTCCCTCACACTCTTACTCCCTCACAACAAGACACTCACCCCTCCTTTCCACTCATGATGGGCGTAGGCAATGAGGGCGGGCGGTGTTGTAATAATTTTTCCGATGAGATCTGTCCATATTAAGGTGCTCAAGAGGACGAAGAAAACGGTGCGTGATTGTTGCGGTCGAGTCGTTGTGTAGAGGTAGTACAGCGCCCATATCTGCCCTGGTGGCGAGAAAGAGAACTATGAGGGTAAACAAACAAACGCGATTTTTTTTTTTTCGTTGTTTTTTTTTTTTTTTTTTGATGGGAGGTGGTGGTAATTTTTTTTTTTTTTTATGGGAAGTGAAGTTTTTTTTTTAAGATTTGGCTGTGATATATAAGAAAGGCGTGAACGTAAACGGCGAATAGCATTTTGTGGATAGGCCTATTCATTCTCTGTTACTGGGCAGTATTGGCATTTTATTGGCCATTTGTATTCTCTGGGTTGTGAGCTCCATCGCCAAGAAATAAAAATGGTCTAAATATTTTAACAATTGATGAAAACAGGAAGTGGCGAAACTGAGAAAGGTAAATAGAAAATAAACAAATACCAAAAGTGACGACGAGAATAAGAGAGGAAGAACGAAGTGATAGTGTTGGTGATCATGGTTGTGGTGGTGACGGCGGCGGAGGTTGTGGTAATGATTATGTGGGTGATGGTGTTGATGATGATGATGATGGTAATGATAATGATGATGATAATGATGATGATGATGATGATGATGACGATGATGATGATGATGATGACGACGACGACGACGATGATGATGATAATGATGATGATGACGATGACGATGATGATGATGAAGAGGAGGAGGAGGAGGGCGATGATGATAACGGCAATGACTTTGATGATAAAGATAATGAAGACACCACCACCCAAAAAGAAAAAAAAAATAAATAAAATAAACTAAACACATACAACCAACAAACAACTTACCCGCGACCCCACTCAAGCTCAGCAGAATCGGTGACACAATCGTCGCTCCGGGCTGCAGGTCCAGCGCCGTGCAGGTTACGTTCCCCTCACATTGCACCGTAAGCTGGGTGTCGGTCATGCTGAGTTGCGTCACTCCTGGGCAAGCGAGCGGGGCTTCCAACGGCTGGTCAGGGCGCTCCCCTCCTCCAATCTCCCGGGGCGGAACCAACATCGTGGACGGAGGAGGGAGGACGGCCTTC